CATTGGTAGTGAACAATTCAATAACGGCTAGTCCCTTTTACAGGACCTTGATGTCGAGCAAGAACGGGTTTTAATATGTCAAGAATTCGAGCGTATGCAACGCATTGCTCGGATGGACGCTAAAGTTCTGCTTGGTAAGGTCGCTCTTGTAAGACTGACATTCTCGGAGTTAACCAACCACCCACAGACACGACGGAAATGCTCCTTCTCCTGATCTGGCGTCATCTAGAGTACTACTCTCAACCACGGTACATGAATGCCATGCCAGTCAAAGTATCAGTGTCGAACGCGATGCGACTCTTGGCTACTGCTGAACCGGAAGCTTTTCGAGCTGAGATGGGGGCGAAACTTGCACCGGCGTTGGAACGGCTGGCTTCACTCGATTTGGTACGTTCGACCTATGTGGTGGGCATGCTCGTGAATATAACATTGAATGTAGGATTACGAGTCATTTGGGCAAGATTGGCAAGGCAACCAGGGTTACATTGAAATAATGTGTCGCAGGTTACGGGATAGTGCTGGATTGCACGATGAAACAGTGCAAGGTCGGGCAGGTGGTTAGAAGCTGACGATTGTACCGTACGGATCTAAAAATTCTTCAACGTTTATTTATTTCTCAATTTCGGAGCACTAAAACATCCTTGTTTTGATGATAAGGCTCCTCCGCGGGCATAATATGGATATCATAAATTAGATGAGCAAGCCTGCTTCATACATGCAATTTGATCAGAACGTACACGACTACCTGGGTAAAAGACTTCCAGCGCCCCGTAGAGCCAATGAGCCACCCATGCGCAGCGTCTGTGTCCCTCCTGGGAAGTACGCTAGCACATACGAGACGAGAGCAACCACCTGCCGTACAAAAATAAATAAGGGAGGGACGATTCGTTGACCACGACATACCTGGACCACCCCAGACACCAAAGAACCAAGCCATGAATGAGCCTGACATGAAAAAAAAAAAAAAAGGTCAATAATTATTTGAAATCAAGAATAGTGATACATACGCCAAGTGAAAAGTATAACGTCAGTCCAAGACTCCCGAAGTAAACAGCAGAGAATGGTAGTCGCTCCTTGGACACGAGGTGTTTTATGTGGTTTATAGGACCTACTAAAACAGAAAATCTGAAATGTGTGTGAGCATCAATGCTCTCATGATATAAAGTTAACTGACCCGAACATGACGAGCAGACTACCCAAGCTGAGGGCGCGCATCAATACTTCATCTGTCAGAGACATTGCTTCAAATTTTACCTAAAGGCGAGGGCGAATTTTGCTGGGCTAAAGGGTAAAGTATTAGAATAGAAAAGCTGGCGAGATAGGGAGAAGTGCTCACCGAATGGCAAGGAATGGAAGTGTTAGGAACGCGACAAAGAAGCAGACCGCAGCACCAATTAAGCATACGCCAAAACCCAACAACCTAGCAGGCGTCCACCGTCAATGGTGGAGTGCAAGTATAGGGATAGCTACACACCGCTCCCATCTCGACAATGCAAACCATGCCTCCTCCTCGTTGGATTGCTCACTGGACCGCAGTGGGATGTAGTCTCCGGCGACGGCGTTGTAGAAACGAGAAAATGGATTTGCGGCTTGAGGGGCTGGCTGCTGCTGCTGAGAGTCATCGGTGGCGCCTCGGGCCCACCGAAATTGGGATAAATTGTTGCGGAAATTCTGTTCTGACGATGGAGGCATGATGAAGTTGGGGAGGAGGAGCCTAAAGGCTTCTAGCAAATAAGCACATACATTGTAACATACTCGTACATACAAAAACATTGACAAGTGGCCTCTAAAAATTTATGTTTACCGCGGTACTGGCCTTCTATGCGGACCACCATCTATTCAGATCTTCCCATGCATTCGTGACAGTAGCTACCACCCCAACCTCCATTGCTTTTGCGAAGTATCGACCTAAAATGCCTTCCTCAGGTGCATCTCGTACCCCAAGAGCGTGGGTACGCCGACGCTGCAACCGCCTCGAATCGCGCCGTTCTGGAAGATTTGTATATGCCTCTGTCCCCATTGTGGCTGATTTGACGGGAGCCTTCGGCGGTAGCGATCCCGCTTTGGTCGGCACGGAAGAGGCGTCTTGTAGGGGAACAATCGGAGTTGCAACTGCCATGGTAGGTTTCGTGCTTTCGGACGGAGCGATTACCGGAGGGGCGACCTTTCG